TTGGAAACTAGCCCAGGTGGCAGGAAGTTGTTTTTCGCCCCAGAGGGTCTCATTGAGAGAGTGCGTGTCGGTGTGTGTGTGTGTGTGTTGCGTGATGCAGGAGTAGAAAGAAGGACGTGACGTGAATAAGAGGAAAACGAGGGCGATAAAGCGCTCAAAAATGGATAGACCGGTTCCAACGGCGTTCTCAGGTAAAAGAGCGGCTATTTATCAGAGTGGGAGAGTGGTCAATGGGCAGAGGCGGTTACTATTTTAATGGGTTCGAGATTATAATTCTAAATTAGTATCACTCCGGTCCAAAATAAGTGATTTTTTGGCTGGTCCAAAATAAGGAATTTTTCCAGATTTTAAGAATAAATTAATTATTTTTTTTCTACATTATCCTTGGAGTAACTAGTATTGGAATATGTGTTAGGAGTGTTTGTAAAGGTTAATATGATCAATTGTATTGTTAATTAATGCTAAAAGGTGGATTTCTTAATCTGTATGAAAACATCCAAAAAAAAATCACTTATTTTAGACTGGAAGGAGTAATATTTATGTATTCATTGGATTTCTTAATACAAATACAAGATTTGAATAAAAGCTTATTGGGTTCGGTCGAACCCACAATAGATAGATACTGTGGCTCCGCCCCTGTCAATGGCCATTGACAGCGGTAACGTGAGACAGATATTCATGCGATTTAGTTAGTATTATAACAGAGTGATTTTTTCCTTTAAAAAAGAATGATACAATTTGAAATACTAGATGCATTTGCTTGAAAGAAATTGATAAAAAAATTATTCAAACGATTTGGAGGATGATGAATATATCCCTTTTCAAAGGATAATTGTATGTATATGATACTTATAGCAAATGAAAAATCTTCTAGTTGCAGATATTGCATTTCCTTTCCATTTGTTGCGGTTATTAATAATGACATTGTTATAAATAGAATTTTATTTATGGTGAATGTTCATATTTAGAGAGATTCTAGGGTTTATTACTTGGTGACTAAGTTACTCTCTTCCTATAAATAGAGAGTTCTATTCCATTGTAATTCATCTCAATATCAATAAGAATTCTCTCTCTACTTTGCTCTGCAATACTCTTCTTCTTCTTTTATTGTTTCATAACACGTTATCAGCACGAGACTCTAACCAATTGAGTAGAAGCTTTGGGATTGAGCATAATGATTGTCAATTGTTCTTTGAACTTCCTTCATGATTAAATTCTGGATTTAAGGTAAGTATTTTACTTTTCTCTTTTAAAATCTTGACATTCTATACTTTGATTTTAAATACAAGCAAAGATGATAAATTTTGATTGCAACTCTAATAGAGTTTGAAAGAAATTATAACCACCCAAAGTGGTAAAATTTCTATGTGCCATGATCAAATTCATGTATGATTGTGGGCAAAGAATTGAAAACCCGTCCCATTGAATTTGCTCCATTCTCATTCCCTTTAGAGACTGTGATAGCAGTGTGTGATAAGTCTGAAAGAAGACAAAATTACTACTATGAATGTATCAATGGATGTGGATGTGGCAATAGACGAATAAATTATAATCGTCATCATTGAGTAATGAGAATAATAGGGATTCTCAAAATAATCCTTCACTCTGTAAAAGTAATGTTTGTCATCGATTTGACATGAGATTTTATAAAGCACATATAGATGATTATGGTCGATTCATGATGTGAATGTGACAACATCTTATTTATGAATACATATTCATTCTTGGAAGAATATGAACGTGCTAGTGGTAGTGAATATACCATACTCACCTCTAAAAGGAGGTTTAAGATGATATAAGAAAATAATGTCATTATTATAGCATGAATGGTCATTGGTCACGTACCTATTGTACGCCAGAATATTTTGGCAATGTGATTATTAAAGGACAACAATAATGCAAGAAACATATCTTGCATATAATTTTGACCATGATCATAATGATATAACTTTCTCCTTGAAAGAGATATATGACCATATGAATGTTGATGAATATGTGGTAGTACAAAATTAATTGAGAGCTCTGGAAGAGCCATTATACTATTTTGGAGAAACACAATTGATTACCAATAAGGTATCGTGTTGTAGTAAGTCTCAAAGAAACTTATTCAGTTTCTAAAGTATTCGCGAAAGCGGTTGGTTATATTGAGACTATAAATAAAGAAAGATTTAATATCTTCTATTACTACAACTTCTAGCGGGATAATATTTATGTGAAAAGTTACCCGTTTTATTCTCCAATTTGTACTACACAAATAAAAGAATACCACAATAAAGTAGAACTTTATTGATATAAAACCCATATCATAATAAATTTGGAGTTTATTGATATCCAGTTGGCATAGCTGGTTTAGCCATATCAGTTTAAGTATGATGTGCAAAAATAATAGAGAATTCACATGGGTAAATATTAAAGAACTAGAAAGTTCTTTACGAATTCTCTTATATTGCTTATTTTCATTAATTAATTGACCAACTAAAGTTGGGATTGAATCCCATGAATTCTGGAAATATCAAAGGTGAATATGGGCTCATTCACCTGTCATGTATACCATATAAGATGCATTTATGAGATGGTTACATGTGCAATTATTATTAACTCGCAACATGATGTTTTGCGAGGTAACTTGCTCAATAGTTTAATTTCGAGCATAATTTCCAAATTTTCTATTCAAGAAGTTCATCTTGATAAGTTGGTTTACATCACAGCTGGTTTAGCAAAATAATTTATTGAGTGCCTCCACTTAATAACTAAATTGTTGCTGATGAGAACAAAGTTATCTATATCAGTTTGATATAGGTTATATGCGAAAGTATATTACATTCTCCTCTCACAAGTGGTTCGGGGTCAGGAACCAAATAATTGCATCTTGTTATTATTGATGTGCGGTGTATATATTGATTAAGACCATAACGCACAAAGATGAGTTCCCAAAATTGAGGAAGCAAGTTAGCTTTTCTAACATAAGGGAGAAACATGATAAACAGTTGAGAAAAAGTTACGTGGAATGAATTATCATTTGTACATTTAGATCCTCGAATAAGATAATATGAACTTGAAGTTCATAAAAGGATAATTCATTTGCAATATATTGCAAAGCATGCCAGACACATTTGCTTACCCAAAGAAAGTAACTATATTCTCATTGGAATTGCTTATATTAAGTTCTAGAAGGACAAAGTCTATGGTACGCTTAAAGCATATAGACAAATCAGTTTCAAATAGCTTCTTGATAAAGAAGATGAGCAAATGATCAAAGTGATCATAATAAGGAGGCAAGTGATCTAGAAGATCACATGACATAACACTTCATAAAATCTCATGAGAGATTCAGGTACCTGAATATATGAATGAAGAGATCTCTACGTTATGTCTTTATGAAAAAATATTGGAACCGATATAAAATGTTCGTCGATGACATCTATGATAGCGCTAAATATAGAATTGGTTTCATATGAAAGACATATAATTTTGTCTATGTTGTTCAAACGCTTGAAAGTATAAAGTCAATGATATGTGCAATCAGTTTTCGATATCTTATTTGTCTAGCATGACTTGAAAACTTGATATGCATCTAATTAAAGTCCATTATATGACTTAACTTATATGACAATCCTTAAAGGATTTAAATCGCTTAAAGCATATACAATTCTTGGTCTTGAAGTATGACATCCTAAGTGCAATTTGTGCACATATGTATCTTGCTATAACTATAAGCATGATAATGTGATAGCGAGAATACCTCTATGGAGATATCGAAAAAGCCATTCTACGGAAGTTTATGAAGATATTACATCTCTATCAAGAATGATGATTTCAAGATGCAATATATTCATTCAAGTTAATATGGTTGATTTGTTTATCAAGTCTCTACCAAAGATCGTTTTGAAAATGGTGCACAAGATTGGAATGCAAATGCTTAAAGATGTGAACTGATGCTCTCATCAGGGGGAGTTAATGCGCGTTGCACTCTTTTTCCCTTACAAGGTTTTGTCCCACTGGGTTTTCCTTACAAGGTTTTTAACGAGGCAACCAAAAGGCGTATTGTTAGATATGTGTACTCTGTTTCCTTCTCTAGAATTTTTTTTCACTGGGTTTTATTTTAGTTATGGTTTTAACGAGGCACATTATCTGTTGAATAGACATTCAAGGGAGAGTGTTATAAATAGAATTTTATTTATGGTGAATGTCCATATTTAGAGGGATTCTAGAGTTTATTACTTGGTGACTAAGTCACTCTCTCCCTATAAATAGAGGGTTCTATTCCATTGTAATTCATCCCAATATCAATAAGAATTCTCTCTTTACTTTGCTCTGCAATACTCTTCTTCTTCTTTTATTGTTTCATAACAGATATTATATTTTTTGTGGTTTTCACGACTCTGAGCCCGTCTGGACATAAGAATTTTTTCACTTTTTTTTCGAAAAATTCACTTTTTTTCAAAATCAGTGTTTGGCCATAAAATTTTCAATTCACTTGAAGATGAATTTTGAAATTTTTCGAAAATTTGAAAAACTCCAAAAAGTTGTTTTTCAAAATTTTCACTCGGATCACTCACAAAATTTCAAAAACAACCCAAAATTATATTCATGTCCAAACACAACTCTAATTTTCAAATATCATTCACTTTTTTTCTTTTAATTTTTTTTTTACATTTCTTATGTCCAAACGCCCACTATATGTAGGAGAAATCTTCAATATGGTTGAGAATGAAATTTTAATATTTGTATGAGAGATTAAAGTAGGTTTACTTGCTAAGATAGAGCAATTGAAAGGAAAAATCACAAGGCAAGTCAAAGCCTACACCGTTTGATCATTATTTCCCATTTACCCTTCTCTTTCGAACAAAACCAATTAGACAGAAAACGAAAATAGCATGCACTCCTTTCTCGTGAGCAAAAGAGAGGTGCAACATTGTGTACAAAAGGAAAGGCATATGGTCGAGTTTTATCTTCTGTAAATACCACAACAATTCGATGCTGAATTATATAGTAAAAACTCATCCATAAGCATTCAGTTTTATTGTATCACTGCGATGGCTTTTACAAAGTTGTTATCTACAATTAAATTGCGAGCTTCTTTTAGAGAGGTGTCTAAACATTTCTACACGAACTCGATCGTATAGACTAGCCAACAAAACCTGCACTCCAGCAGAGAGAAGCAATCACATCCAAATGTGAGAACAAGGTTTGCAACTCCCTTTTCTTACAATAAGAACTATGCTATCCTTGTCCCATGTCAACAGGCTAATGCATCTATAGGAAGTGAAAGAAATAACTTTTTCTCACCAAAATCATCAACTTCAAAAGAAAAAAAACACCAGGAGCAAAGATTTTACACCTAGACGGTACCCGCCAAAAGCCATAACATATTTGCCACCTCAGACTTGTCACTTTCAATAAGGATGAAACCTTCCATTAGCAGCGCCATTATTCCTAGCACCACCATTTCCGCCACCACTGCTGCCACCACTACCATACCCTTTTGCACCACCATAACCAGCAGGATTGCCACCTTCAGGTGCTCCTTTACCCAAATCATTCCAACCACCACCACTGCTCCCATATCCCTTACTGCTGGCATACCCAGCACCACCACCATAGTAGCCAGGCGCACCGTAGCTGCTGCCTCCATAACCAGCTGCCCCGTACATAGCTCCACCAAACCCAAATCCATAACCGTATCCACCATATCCAGGGTAAAATCCTGCAGCACCTGCACCATAACTACCTGCAAATTTGCCATAACCATCATAGCCACCGTATGCTCCATATCCGCCATAGCCTCTGCCCATCTTTCCACCATATCCACCACCAACACCCTCTACAGAACCACCAAAGCCACCGTATGCTTTTGAACTACTCCCACCACGATGTAGCCGGCTTTCACTTGCATGTTCAGCACCACCTCTCTTTGGCTCTGCCCTCTTAATTTCAACCTGAAGAAGATAAAATATCAGAGAGGTATCATTTTGTTTGATCATAGTAAAACGGGGTGAGAATCAATTCTTAGAAGTATAAAGTCCTAATTACTCACTTGTTTGCCACGAAGTTCGTGCATACGGCCATTAGACAAAACCTTCTCAACTGCTTCTTCATTATCAAAAGTGACAAAGCCAAAGCCTCGCGACCGACCAGTGTTTTGATCCAGCATGATCTGATGCTCCACAACATAGCCATAAGAAGAAAAATATTCCTTCAACTCATCTGCGATTAGTCAATAAGTTAAAGCAGCAACTTTTTGGACTCACATAGATAAGGAGTTATATCATGTAGAATACTTTTACCTTCAGTTAAAGGTAAGGGAAGACCGCCAATAAAAATTTTCTTCGTTTTTGGTGCTCCTTTAACTTGCATGTTCTCCTTAGGTACTGTCTTCTTCACTTCCACCTTATCAACAAAAATTAACATATTCATTAAACATAAACCTTGGCACAGGAGTAATAGTAAATAAAAGAAATATAATATTAAGTGGTGCATTTAGTAGAATATTATACCGCTCTACCATCTATGACATGGTCTTCCTCTAAAACCTTATTTGCAACTTCCGCGTCCACATATGTAACAAATCCAAATCCTCGTGGCCTTCCAGAGACCTTATCCATCATTATAACAGCATCAGTTATCTCTCCAAACTGGCTAAAATGCTTCCTAAAAGATTCTGGAAGGTAAAACACCATATACAGTACGAGGTTAGAGGAAAGACAGCCAGACCTCATGAAAATAGGGAAGCAAACAAAGCAGATGTACTTATCAAAAGGAAAAAAACAAAGTAGATATCATAACATAGAGTCAAACCACTGTAAAAAAATGTCAGTTTCTGAAACATGGAAAAAGAATTCGAAGAAACTAAAAGATTTATCGAAAAGCAAACAGAGACCAGAAGAATTTACTGTGGAAGGAGAACATTAACTCAAGTACTCAACTAACTAGATACATGAATAATTAAAATGCCTCAATATCAAGTTAGGAATGCATGCTATTAAAAGTTGTGCCTTTTTACTGTTTTCTCAAGATGTTCCAAAGACAGCCCAAACCCAAATCCCACCCCCAAAATGTTAATAGAGCAAGGACCAAAGTCAACGGTGTGAGTGCCAGCAAATACACTATAACTTGAATAATGCAAGTACTATAAAGCAATGTGCTCAAGCAAGAGTGCATCACACTGCCCCTAACCTATTAAATTAGTAATACACACAACTCAGGGGAAGCAACCAGCTCCCGAGTGCAGTTGCAATAATCTTTTAGCTGATGCCTCACAATAGAAACTAACTCATCCTAAATGAAGTAATCATGCATTTTAAGACCACTCTCCTTTAGAAACCTTTCGCTTTTCTTATAACCCAGATATCACTGAAACTCATGTTCCGTCGTACTATAACTGTTAGCAACATCAATTCAGTAAGAAATTCTTGTCTGAAAAGAATCATGATACTGTAAAATTCTAATGAGAGAACAGCTGGTACTGGAAACAAATCTTTGTGCACTATTGTATCAAAAAAAAAAAAAAAAAAACTTAAGGAAGATGCTTAAAAGTCCTTTTGCTTGCACACAAGGGTGAAGCCTAGTGGTCAATCAAGCGGGTGCAAAACCTTGAAGACTAGGATTTAAATCCCAATAGAGACAAGAGACACTAGGCAATTTTTTCTCATCTGCCTAAGTCTTGATAGCAGAGTTACCTAGTACTTGTGTTGGTAAGAGGTGGCAGGTACCTAGTGAAACAGTCGAGGTACTCGCAAGTTGAGTTGGCCTGGACAAATATTTGTATGGCAAGTATCCTCAGGAGAGGTGAAAAACCCATTTTATATTTCCATCTTTTTCATTTAATTAGAGTATCGCTTAGTCTCAATCTTTTGCCTAAAGATACATCATAATTTTTCAAATATGATGTTCATTCGTAACAAGACTTGAGCGAGTACTGTCATGTGGCCAAGCAACAAAAGTGAAGACATCTAAGAGACTTAACAGAAGGCCACTTACGACACACTAGTGATATGTCAGATAAACATGTTAAGCGTGCTTTAACCACGTTGGCAGGCCAATTCACTATTTTCATGATCCAGGAATATGCCTAGGTAGAAAGACAATTGGTATAAACACAGCACATGAAGATACGATAGAAGGAACAATGTCAATAAAGGGGTAACCACAGCACACAGAGGACATGCGCAGGCACAGTGGGAAGGCCGCTGGGCTTAAATAATACACTGCTTATGTAGCACCCAGGTTCTTTGAAAAAAAAGAGAGTTAACTATGTCACAACCAAGGTGTAACTGAAGAAAAAACAGGGCAAGTTGACAGCTGCATTAGCTACTCAACCAAACCTTTAATGCGAGACTATCGGTACATAAACAAAAGCCATATTCTTGTCCTAATCAAAACCTTTGATAATAGTATCACTTTTTAAACTTATTCTTTACAAAATAAGACAGTCTCAATGTGTAAACAATTGAAAACATATCCATGTTCATAAGAAGGGAAGAATTTTGTGCTAGCACACTTTCAGATACAGCGAAACAAAGAAAGCACTTGCACAGCAATGTTAGTTGTACTTCAAATCAAATATTACTCTAAAAATGTCAAAACTGAAGCAAATAGATTTTCGGCAATCACAAACAGTCTGGAGTACAAAAAGAATTTCTATCATTTAAGGTAAAAACAGAGGGTCCTAGTCGCGAAGTAATATGCACAATTTTATACGAAGCAAGATAGCAACAATACCTTCAGTTGTCTCCCAAGCAATGCCTCCAACAAAAAGCTTTCTACAACAAACAAAAATTACCATTATGCCAGCATAACCTCGTATATCTTTGTAAATTGCAAGAGGGGTTTTTCCATACCTACCGGAATCCCTCTTGTCAAGAAAATATAACAATTTGGTAAAAATCATGAGAAAAAACATTCAAAGACAAACGTATGACTTGCTATAAGCTAACAAGCTACTATAAACTAAACTACAAACTAACCCTGCTGAAGAATCATCCATTGAATGCTTTAATTCATGGCTTTCTGAATAGCGCTCTTGTTGCTCAGTTACATCAAAATCCATTGTTTTTATTGTTTCTCTACCTATGAAACCTGCAAACGGATACGAGATTATTTCCAAAAACACCTCTAGTTTTGAGGTTGGCTTCTGTAGTTTTCAGCTAAAAGGAATAAACCCTAACTAAACCTTGACGGATTCCAGCACGTAGCTAGCTTTAGGTATTCTCTCCACGAGATGGATTACTGAGGAAAGGAGTTGAGTAGTGAGTTTTGTGATTGCATAAACCCTAGCCCTTTTGCGGTAAAATGGAAAATTGCCGCCGAATGGAAAATTACTTCCACAGATAAAAGCAAGGACTTGTAGAGCTGCGATTTTCTAACAGCTTGTTTGGACTGTGGAGGGTTGTTATTATATTGTTTGTTTTGGTCGTTATTTAAATTTTATTATACTATTATTAAATTTATCATTATGTGACGATAAAATATGCCACTTTAGGTAACGACCTAGTGAATGTGGTCGCGTCGTTACCTTGTCTTCACTATTATTAAATTATTTATACTATTTTTTATATAATAATTTTATCTCGTATCATAATTTTTCTTTATAATATTCCAAGTATATTCTTCATATTGTCGATGCATGATATTATAAAACGACGGCAAATAATACAATCTATCCAAACATTATATTCAGCAAACGGTACAATATAATACAAAACGATACGATACATTATGAAACGATATATAACAACCATCCAAACAACCCGTAAAGAGAATATCTTTTCGGGCAATACAATATGATACCGACACATTATGAAACGATATATAGCAATCATCCAAACAAGTTGTAAGGCGAGTATCTTTTCGGGGAATATTTCAAGCTTTGAAGCTGGTAAAAAGACTATAATGCTCTCTCCCACCCACATTGTATTATATTATTTTTATTAATAAATATTTGGATAAATTATTATTATTATTATTATTTATTATCATTTTATAATATCACATACTTACGAAGAAGAAACTATAATAATACAAAAAAGAGTAGGATACGGGTATTACATAAAAAGACAGGATAAAAAATATATTATTTAATAATAAGAAATACAAAACGAGAGAAAATAAGGTACGATGTATTCACAACAAATAGGCCGTTATATTTTTTTGTTATATAACAACGGATTTAACTATATGATAATAAAATTTAATTAACAATTAAAGCAAATATTATATTTAAAGTAACCATCCAGCCAAAGAATCCATTAAAGTCAAAGTGAAGGAAAGAAAAAGGCATAATTTGCACCCTGTGGTCTTTTTCGAGACTACTCTTCAAATTCTGTCCCTTAATCCAGTGGGAAGATTTATTTAGCTTTTAAAAGTGGCTGGATGAGTTCCCATTTTTTGTTTTTCCGACAAATTTAGTTGGTGAAAATTTATTCAAATTGGGAGTTTCCACCGAACTATATTCCCTTTGATCCCAAATAAGTGATTTTTTGGCCTTTTTTTGTGGTCCAAATAAGTAATTTTTCCAGATTTCAAGAATGAATTAATTATTTTTTTTCTATATTTACATTGCCCTTGGAGTAAATAGTGTTGAAGTATGTGTTAGGAGTGTTTATGTGAAGAGATACTAAAGGTTAATATGTCAATTTCACTACTAATTAATGTTAAAAGGTGAATTTCTTAATATGTGTAAAAACAACTAAAAAATCACTTATTTTGAACCGGAGGAAGTAGTCAATTAATAATGATTAAGTGATTAATAATGGAAGTTTCCACCAAACCATTCCACAAAACAATTAAATGTTAATGACATTTCAGCTACCAACAAGTTGTGATTTTTAGTCATATACCTTTAGGGGTCGTTTGGCATGAGGTATAATAAGGTATAGGGGTGGTATAAAAATTTAATATCACCTTAATACTTTATTTGGTTAGCAAACTAGGTATAAATTATCTCGGTGTTAATTTTAACACTGGAATAACTTATACCTTATAGAGGATGGGGTAATTAGCACCGGTATAACTTATACCTTCTTCTCAGAAATTATACAATTGTCATTCTTAATGCAACATACCAAACAGTGAATAACAACAATTCCAGCATAACTTATACTGACATAAGCCCTATTCCAACCAAACGACCCCTTAGTTTCTAAGAGAGCACCGCAATTAAAAGACTCAAAAGAGTGTAGTAGCAACAACAGCTGGTTTAGTACAACTAACAAAATTCTGCTTTAAGAACTACTTTATCATGTACAATGACAAAAAATAAAACTACATTTAGATTCATAGATTTGACAAATGCTGACACTCCAAACGATAATTACAGCGTATGAAAGGGTAACCCGATGCACAAAGTATCTCGCTTTCATGCAGGGTCCGGGGAAGGCCGCATCCCAAAGGATGTACATCACATAAAATTGCTAGCGAAAACCATCAAGGGTGTAATTCCTTTTGCAAGGAACATCAATCTTCTAACTCTTCATCATCTTCACCGGCATCAAATTCCTCCTCTTCTTCTTCTTCACCAGCTTCCGCCTCTTCTTCTACATCGTCTACAATGAAACCCCCGAGAGTTTCATCTTCCTCATCTTCTTCTTCTTCTTCTTCCTCATATTCTTCCTCCGAAGGTCTAGTTTTCTGTAGTGGAGAAGGTTTCTTCTTTTTTGCATTAGACTTGTCCTTGGACCTTGTCACGTATTTAGGTCCCTGAAGCTTCTTAGATTTCGAGAGTAGTTCTTTCTCATCTTCACTTTCGCCAGTCCACTCTTCATCGTCTCCCTCGCCTTTTTTCTTCCGTTTTCTCCTTGCACCCTTTTTGCCTTTTCTATCAGAACCCTCATCAGCATCACTCTCCGCTCTTTCCTCCTCGATAAACCAATCCCAGTTCTTTATCTCCCGAATCATTCTCTTGGGATAACCATCAAATTCATGCCCCATCACCAGAAAACCAAACTCTGCATTTAGCAAAATACAAGCTTAATAAGCAGGAGATTCCTCGGAACATAGTAAAATTTAGCTTAAGTCAACCACAAAAGAATTTTATTTAAGTAGTCAACCAGACAATGTATATATAGTCAGGTTACAACGAATCCTCTAACTGAATCAAAAGAGCAGAATGAGCACAGATGATGCACACAATCCACCCAACGACAGTCACTTGTGGAGTCCGAATTTTGAATAAGGGGATTAAAAAAATGTAAGAATGTTATGAACCTATGTCAAGGAAACGCAATGGTTTATATATAGAAATTTTTTGTTTCTACCCCTTTTCCACAGTGTAACTTTCCATCGAAGAAGATTCAATTGAACCCCTTCACCAAATGTAGATACACCCTTGAGTGGGAGTGACCAGTGCACAAGAACAGGGTAAACGCCAGAAAATTCAATAAGGTCAAACTCAAATCCAATTCTCTATTGGACAGCAACTACTCTGGAGGTTTCAGCAAAATGGGTCTCTATTCCCAACTCATACTTCGTACACGTTTATCTCAGGCACCAAAAAACCTTCTTTTCAAGATGAACCAATTGGGTTTGTAAAATCAACTTTACAACAACAACGAACCTACTGTAACAACAACAACAACAACGAACCTATTGTAACAACAACAACAACAACAACAACGAACCTACCGTAACAACAACAACAACAACAACAACAAGATAAGGTGATAGAATAATCAAAGCGAAAGGACCGACATATAGTAACAGAAATCTACGGATAAGAAGGTATCAAAATACAAGACTAATACTAATGCTCCCGGCATGTAAAAGAGACACTCCCACCCAGAGTCGAGTCCATGATTCAAATTCTATGAGTTCAACTTTTAGGTTTTTATCATTGAACTCATCAATCTTAAAGTTGTGGGTTCATCTCTACTATTTATTGTAATTCAAATAAATTTTATGCTCTATGTGGAAAGTTATGGGTTCAGTTGAACTCGTACCTACAACGGTACATCCGCGCCTGCTCCTGCCTAAGATAAGGTTCTGACTAAATCAACGGAACAAAATGGATGCAAATGATTCATAGAACAGCCAACTAGGTAGAGATTGCGGGTAGTTAATTGAATTGATTGAATATTTTCAATTCACGGAAAAAGTAAAGCAACTGGAAAATCAATTGAGCATTGGAATAGCAGAGGCAAAGAAACAAACAGAGAAAAAAAAACTCAAACCTTGAACAGGGTCAATGCCGAAAATATCAATATTCTCGAGGTCTAATTCAATCCCTACCGGACATGAACTACTCTGAAGGCTTTCAGCTAATTGACTCTCCATTTCCATCTCTTTCTTAACACCCCATTGATCTTCATCGTCAAAATCAATTCTTCTCAATGTGAACCAAATGGGTTTGTTGGCAGATACACAGAACATGTCGCCGTTCACCATTTCACCCTTTTCGAACTTCCTAAAGGTCCGAACTTTACCATCTTTGTTGCTGTATACCCAAATGGGGTTCCTTCCGACAACTTCAAAATTAACCTTAGTTTCATCTTCTTGTTCTGAAGAGGTTTGGAGTTGGAACGAGATTTGACGGCGAGAAACGGTTCGGTCGTCGGCGGTGAACCCAAGCCCTCTACCGAACTCTCTCGTTGAACCGGGTTTCAGTAGGGTTTTGGACCCATTTGTGCCTTCAATTTCCATTATACAATCTTCAAAATTCCAGAATATTGAATGACTTGCAGCAATTATTACCCATTTTGTTAGTTCGATTTTATAATGATGCTTGTTTAGTTTCCGACTCTTTGAGCTTTTGAGTTTTGACTAGTCGGTTACACGATAGTATATAAAAATGAAAAGCTCAAAATTTACAAAGAGAGAAAAGAAAAGGTACGATCATGGAGATTATGTACACTACTTGATTAAAATTATGATTAGCAATAAAATGGAGTTTTTTTACTAAAATCGTCCCTTATTTATGGGAGTATGTCTATTTTTGTCAAGGTTGATACAAAATAGTAGTGTCAACTAGCAAATGATAGCCCTTCGGGTTGCTCGGTTGGTATGACCTGGGAATCTGGGATTGAGTCCCCTTAATGCCTTCTGAGTTGAGCATGTCGCACAGGGCGTGTCTAGTGCAGTTTACATACTCTGTGTGATTTACATGCTATTGCACATGGGAGTTTATCCAGTGCTCGCCACAGAGTGCTCACTTGAAGAGCAGAGACTATAACCGCTGCGACTTTTCCTCTGCACCAAATAAATTAGCAAATAATACTTTTATTTTAAGATTGACCCAACTTGCAAAAATGTGAGGGGTATCCGCGAGAGTTGATCGGATAAGTAATTTTCTACGTGAAAGATATTTGTGATCGATTCCCTTCGCCAAATATCATTATAAAATCGAACTAACAAAATGGGTAATTATTGCTGCGAGTCAT